ACACTTAGGTCCAGTTTCCATGGGACAACTGCTCTTAGAAGGAGGACAGAGAAGGGGCCCTGGGCTCAAGACCCCTGGCCAAATGGCCTTCTCATTACACTGAGTTCCCCCCACCTCAACAAGACCATGTGGTATTTGGAGGTCCCAGGGTCAGAGTCCCTAAGTGATTGGGCCAGGATGTAGCTGCTCCTCTCTGGGCCTGGGATAGTCCTGGTGGATTGGGGGTTTCATTTATGAGCCTTTTGGTAAGCCAACTCAGAGCTGCAGACATGGGCTCCCATGCAGTATCCTGGTGGGGGGAGGGGGGATGGGAATCCAGGACAAAACACTGCAGACTGTTTGAGTGGATGGGAGCTCAACTAAAACGTTAAAGCAACAAGTTGAAAGGCATTCAGAGCAACAATAAGGAAATGCCACAGGGTTGCATTTTGCAAAGCATGGTCCAAGCAGTGACTCTTCTGTCTTTCCTGCTTATCTGCCTATTTCCCGTTATCCACACATCCATTGCCCACTCCATCATCCATTCATCCACTCCCAACATTCATCTACCATGTCCTTCCCTCCACTCTCTCATCTATTTACCTGTCCACTCCCCATCCATCCATCCACCCCATCCATCTACTTCCCCATCCAGCCATCCACTCATCCAAACACCACTAACTCTTTACATCTGTCCATCCATCCGCCCTCTGCTTCCCTGCCCACTCCATCCATCATCCATCCATCCATTCCTGCATTTATTTATTTATTTATTTATTTATCCACCTATTCTACCCACCCATCCACGCTCTTCTTTCTCTCATTTGTGCAACCAAAGATGCTGAGGAGGACATACAAGCCACCACTGTCCCTGTTCTCTGTGAATCAGTTGATGGGAGCATTTGTTTCCTTTGATCAAGTAGCATGTGGATTTGAATGTTTGTCCCCAGGAGCTCAGCCCAGAGTGTATTCTCTAGCTCCATATCCTGCAGAGCCCTGGGTAGAACTGCACATAGCTAGGACACTCAGAATTTGTGTTGCATGGAGCTGTGCTGGGTGGTGGGAGTCATTCTGAGGGATGTTAGGAGCTAAGAAGTGGTCCCATGCTTGGATTAAAATAGGATTTCCTAGTGGAAAGCCTCTCTCTCTCAGGCCCTTCTTTCTGTTTGGTCTGGTTGAGTGGTAGAGAGAGGACCTTCTGCAGCTGGGGCCACCTTCTCTCTGTCCCTCAAAATGGTCTAGACCTGCAAGGTGTCGTGCATCCTTGGTGGTCTCCAAGTGATTAGCAGAGTGAGGCTCAGAGCAAAAGCAGAGCCCCCCTTGGCTGGGCTGGATCCCTGAATGGGCAGGATGCCCCATCCTGGTCATGCTGGTGGTGGCTTGGGCTGTCTATTCTACTCCCTCCCCTCCCAGGCTGACCTCTCTTCTCACAAAGCTGCCCTTTCCTTCCCGCCTTGAAATCCGATCATGAAACTAATACCCCATATTTTTGCCTGTGAGAGAAGCAGGAGATAAACAGGAAGGCATGAGGGATTAAGGTGCCTTTCTGAGGAAGGGGCCGGGGACAGGCCGGGCATTGGGTGACACCTCTGTGAAGCCTGGGGAATCCAGATGTGAGCTGTTTTGCCCAGTGCATTCCCCCCCACCCATTTGTGTAGAGAAAATAAAACAAAAGGAGAAGAAACAAGCTGTAAAACACTTTGCACAAGTCTGAGCGTGGGCAGTTATCATTTGATGTGTCCCTGACAGCCAGGGGAGCCCAGCCTTTTGATGTTGGGCCTTGGGGTTTTCTTTTGTGTGACCAGTTGTTTGAGAGGCACCTTTTGTTGGTGTCAGGTACATATGGGAGACAGATCCCAGCCTGCGGGGGGAAGGGGGCTAGAGGGGATGCTGAGCTCCCTGGAGGGGCTTGGAGGCCAGACCCAGGTTTGGGGATGTGGGACAGATAGTGGATGGGGGTTGTTTCCAAAGGGGGATACAGGATTAGCATCTGCCATTGAGAAGAACTGGCAGATGCTATTCTCAAGTTTCCTGTGATACAAGGAAAGCCTGACACAGTGGGACCTGAGCAGATGTGCTTGTGAGCAGACTCTGTGATGGCTGTGCTTGCAGGAGGCACCCAAGGAATCCCTCTAGTTGGGAGACACAGGCCTCCACTGACTGGGTCTGCGGTCCTGGACTGGCTGCAAGGAGCAGCTCCTGACACCCTTGTCTGGCCTAGTCCAAGGAAACGGTGAAGGTGAAGCAGATGTGACAGTTGTAAGTGTGGGCAGCGGAGTGCAGAAGAGGCTTTCTTCTTTGTACCTGGTTGAGCTCAGTCCTTGGGACTCCTCTGTACAGCCTCTGCTGGCATTTTCTGGTCTGAATTGGCTTCAAGCTGCTTCCAGGCTTCAGGGTGTGACCCCGAACCACTTTAGTGCCTCCTCCAGAGCCTTGTCCATTTCCACTTGTAACTGAGTGACTCATGGGAGAGTCATTTGGAGGGTGATTCTAAAAGAACATTTAATGAAGCTTATCATAACAGCAGAGAGAAAAATTAAACATGCAGATCTTTTAAAAATCACAAATAAGGGTAATGTATGAGTAAGAAAACCAGGAGTGCTCCTTGCAACTTGTAGGGTGGAAAAGACAAATGTTTTCTAAGCCATTGTAAGAGCACTAGCCAGCATGGAGAGGAGGGAGGAGGGAGGCGGGGAACCCACTCTGGAAACTGAGCAAATGGCATGAACAGGCAATGCACAAAAGAGAAATATAAATAGGAAAATACATGGTGAAGGCATTTGGCCTCCTTCATCATCAAAAGACATGCAAATTAAAATCATGTGCATGCTTCTCCTCCAGACAGATTGGCAAAGGCTTAGTAACAAAGAATGCTGATACCAAGTGCGTGTTGTTATTCTTTGCATGGGTGTGGCACGTCCGTGGAGCTCTCATATCCTGCTGGTGGGAGGCGCAGCTAAAACAGGCTTTCTGGAGGGTACTTGGGATGCCAAGTGCAAAACATGTGGATCCAAGATTTAACCCAGCAGTTCTGTCTTGAGGAATCTGCACAGCAGCCATCAAAAATAGAGTGCAGATGGGCCTGTTTGAAGACAGTCCAAGTAGGGTTCAAGGTGGGAACCACAGTGTCTAAAGGTGTCACCTGATCTGTGGTTCATAAATGGGAAGCAGCCCAACTGCCCAGCCCTGGGAGGAGACCCTACTTTTAGCATTATTTTTGAAGATTTACTTTGTTTACTTGAAAGGCAGAGTTACAGAGACACAGAGAGAACTTTTCTGTGAGGGCATGCAGACAGGAGGGAGAAAGAGGGGCACAGCCTAAGGCCAGCTGTAAAGGGGACAGGGAGTGTTCTAGACACTGCAGCTGAAGCCTCACCAACAGGAGGTGGATTAGCTGAGCCATAGGCAGTGTGGAAAGCAGGAGCGGTCCTAAGGGCTGGGTACAATGATGGCAACTTCAGCACCATGGACGCCCTTTCCTTAGAGCCTGGAATCCCTGCTCTAGCTAAGGTCATCCCTCAGTGTGTCCCCAGGGGATTGGTTCCAGGCCTGCCATGTATGTACATGGACCTGATCCAATGCACCTGCTACATAAGGAGTTGTTGGACTCATTGTTTTGGGGGATAATGATAAAGACAAAATTCTGTGCGTGTTCAGTTCAGATGCAGTTTGGGGAATGATCCTATCTGCCTGTGATTGGTTGGATCTGCCGATGTGGGCGTGTGGACATAAGGGGCCTAGTGCATGGCATGGAGGGCAGCCTGCAGGCAGCTGGATAGGAAGTGGAGCAGCTTGGAATGGAACTAGTGCTCATAATGGATGCTAACTTCACAGGTGATGTCTTAGCCCTGCACCATGGACCTGTGTGTGTCTAGATGCCTACTATTTGATGTGTGTTATGTCGTGAACTTTGTTAAAATCCCCTTCTGTATATGCATGTATACACCAAAAAATAAACTTGTCTTTTTTACTCAATGTTCGTGAAGTTTTAAAAGTCCCCTTTATCATGGTTTGAGAGTCAGGACTCTGGGGTGGGGAGGGGGTGCCAGAGACAGATCCCAGAGAGAGACATCAGGATGGATGGGGTGGGGCAGTGGATGCTGAGTTCTGACGCACGTACACAGGCAGGAGACAGGTTGAAGGAAGCAAGACTGGGAGAGGACACAGATGAGGTTCCAGGGCAGGACAGGGTGCGACCTCCACGGGACTCACCCAACAAGGCTGGCTGTGGGAGAAAGGTGGCGCATCTAACCCCAGAGCCCAAGGGTAGGGGGAGTGTGCAGGCTGATGCCAGGGCTCTCGAGGGCAGCTGTGTGGTGGTCTGCTCAGCCGCTGTGGCAGGCACCCAGGATTTGGGGGTGGAGGAAGTGTGAGGAGGGGTGGTGGTCCTTACACACCAGACTCTTCTTACCCTGCCGAGCAGGGGCAGGAAGACTTGATCCAGCCAAGGGCCATTTGGATATTTACAATGTTGTTCGCAGGCCACACACAATTATCAACCTAGAAATTAGCCTGCTGTCTTAGGTTTATGGAATTTTAAGTCCCACTTGCAAGTTGCCTTGGCAGAAGGGCCAGACCAAATGAGTTCTTGGCCCCATGGGGCGGATATTCCCCACCCCTGCTCTAGAGGCTGGCGATTCGAGATGAAGGTGTGGCCTGGGTTGCTGCCTCCCGAGGCCTCGGTGGCTGCCTTGTCTCTCTCTGTTCTTGTACGGACTTTTTCACTTGGTCACTTTAGACACCATGTCTCCCAATGCAATTTCTGAGGTACTGGGGGTTCGAATTTCAACGTGCAAATTTTGGGGGGGCTATATTCCAAAGGGTGCTGAAGGGGGAATCAAGGGACGGCTCCTGGAGCCAGCGATCGCCCTCTCCCCCATCATCCAGCGGTGGAGAAGAGAGGAGGGGGATTGTGTATGTGTGTGGATTGCTGGGGAGCAGCATCGCTCCCTCCAGGTTCCTTCTGGCGCCCGTCCTGCTAGTACCCCAGATTGAGTGCTTCTCCCTGTCTTCCTCCACAGCCTGCAACTGTAACCTGCACGCCCGCCGCTGCCGCTTCAACATGGAGCTCTACAAGCTTTCGGGGCGCAAGAGCGGGGGTGTCTGCCTCAACTGCCGCCACAACACTGCCGGCCGCCACTGCCATTACTGCAAGGAGGGCTATTACCGCGACATGAGCAAGGCCATCACCCACCGCAAGGCCTGCAGAGGTAGGCAGGGCTGGTGTGGCCACACACACTGCTCCTCCCTCCTTCCCTTCCTTCCCCTGCCCTTCACCTGGCTGCTTTTCTCTTTTTAGAACCACCCCCAACGCCAACACAATCTCCTTCCCCCATCCCCCACCCTATAACTTGAGTGGAGATTGAGATCATCTGTGTCTCTTACACACACACACACACACACACACACACACACACACACACACACACACACACACACACACACACACACACACACACACACACACACACACACACACACACACACACACACACACACACACTCGCTGGTATTTGGAGGTGTCGGCCCAAACAAAGGGGTGAGGGAGACATGGCTCACGGGGGAAGAAAGGAGAAGGTGTGATTCCCCTGGGAGGGGGCCGGGCTCCCCACCCTGCCCCGCCCCCTCCCAGCTTCTCTGCACAGGTGTGCTGCATACCACAGGGACGCGCTGGAGTCCTGTTCGCCAGGCTTAAGGTAGGGGACAAAGGACTCTCTTTTCTGAAGCCCACGCGGTCAGTCTTGCTGCTTTGGAGGTGGGCCCCCGCTGCCCCAGCCCCAGCACACACAGGAATGGCGTCTGTGATGGAATATACAATCCACCTGCAGAGTTCTACTTGGAAAAAAAAAGAGACAGGAGAATCTCTTTCTGTTCACTGAAGCAAGTGCATTGTAACTTTTGACTTTTTTTTTCTCTTTTATCTCCCACCAATAAAAGAGGAAGTAGGAGCCAGCTGACTTAGGCGCCGATGAAATGCAGGATGTAGAAGGTTGAGTGATGCTGGGGGGGCGGGTGGTGAGACATGGGGTTTCCCCCAACACACATCCCCTCCCTTTCATTTTTGGGAATTCTGGGAACCAGGGTACTTGGGTTCCCAAGAAGACAACCTTTTCTAAGGGGTCAGCATACAGGGATGGGGGACGTCACCTGGATGCCACAGACCCTGATCCAGGAGGGTGGTAAAACTGTGGGCAGTCTGAGACCTGGGTGTTAATCTGCAGGAGGGATGCCCTCCCGGGCCACTGCTCAGCTGACGGAGGAAGGGAAGGCATCACTTTCCTAACAGGTGCTTCACCACGTGTTGCAGTTGTGTATAGGACTGATGGTGTGGTCTGCAGGAGGCTGTGCATTCCAGAATCATGAAGAACTTCGTGAGCAGCGACAGGAAGACTTGAGCTGGGCCTGGGGCCCGTGAACCGGCCCTGCACACAAACACCCCTCACCCCAGGCTCTCAGTCTGCCTCCTCCAGACGAGATGTCAGTCTCAAAGGGATGAGAAGTGTGGCTCCCAGAACAGCAAGCAGGCTCTTGGTTGCAACTGCTGATGGCTGCTTCTGGTGGTTACCGAACGAGAACTGAATGGAAGGATGGCCTGAGCTGTTTCCCCAGCCAAGCTGACCAGCAGCAACTTCAGGTGAGAATTTCTCAGCAGGCAAAGAGCCGGAACAGAGAATGGGAAAGGCGGCCTGCAAGACAATGCTTCATGGAACCTGTCTTCTGATTGGTGAGGAAACATGCTACTTCAAGGACCCTAGCTTCTGATTGGTGGGAAAAGATACTACTGCTTCGAGGACCCTGCCTTCTGATGGGCGAGATAAGAGCGCTTTAAGGATTTGGACTCGTGGTTGGTGAAGAAGAGCCCTTGATTGTAAGGCCATGTGCCGCAGGTGTGCTCTCAGACTGGGCAGCTATTCTCTGTTCCCCTCTTCTCTGGAGTCACCTCCTTAGGGTAGGTGAAGACTTCCCCTGAGGGATGCCTTCCACCCAAGAGAGACCTGAGACCTTGTCAGGAATTGGATTTAGGGGGGCATTGAGATGCCAGTGGGGCAGGGTATCCATCTCCACTTGAGACTTTCTCCTGGGGGGCTCAGGCTTGCCCACAGCTCCATCCTTGCCTTGTCTTCCCAAGCCTTACGGAAGTAAACACACTTTGGTCCTAGCATCTCGCTCTTGAAGTCTGGGCTCTGTGTAGAGACTCCTCACCTCAAGCCTCAGGGAGCCTTCCTCTCCCCCCATCAACTTCCCAGCCATCCTAGACCCTTTGGGGGCTGGCGGGGGAAGCTACACCTTCCTCTCTTTGCTTCCCAGGAAAGAACTGGGACAACTTGGACTCCCAAGTTGGTGTGGGAGTGGCCATGAGGCCCTGTGGACTCCCTTATGTCTCAGGGCCCGGGAGGGGCTCTGGGCAGGGGGCCGAGGCCACCCATACACTGCTGGCGATTGGCTGCTGGGGGCCTTGTTCATGGTCGAGCAGGGGTGGACCCAGACAAGGCCAGCTTGGAGCAAGGGCGTTCGGTTGCAAGGGTGATTATGCCGTTCCTCATTTGGGAAGTTTCACAGCAACAAATTTGTTGGGTTTCTTTCTCCTCTCCCCTAGTTTCTGAAGCAAACTGGGGCTGGCAAGGCCGGTGCATACAAAGACCGGTAATAAACATGCCCAGGGAACAGGCGGCTGCACTCTCTGGCTATTCAGGGCAATTTCACAGCACTGGGAAGGCCTCATTATGGTGTGGGCTGTTGTCCCATACAAAGTCAGATGAGATAGATTTCTCCCTTTGCTCCGTGAAGGCTCTGTGAATGATACTTGCCTTGGAATCTGTCACAAGATAGGAGGTTTTGTTAACCATTTGTCTCCTTTGTGGACTTGGGGGAGAAGCTCTTTCTTTCCAGAGGGGCGCAAAGAAGACATTGGGCCATTGCACCATTTCAGCGGCCGACTCCTTTGATAGCGATATTAATTTATCATCTTCCCAAACCGTCTGTGATGGATAAAGACATTCTGGGGGAGTCTCCCGTGAACCGAATCGCGATGAGAATGAAGAAATTGACCGGCGCTTCCAGGCTTCCTGGACAAAGGACTGGCGTTCCATCTCGCTGAGCAGCTCTCTCTAGGTCGGGTCTCTCATGGCCCTGCCCCCTGCGAGTGTGAAGTAACGGGGAGCTGGAAGAAAGGCTGCTGAGGAGGAGGAAGGTGCCTGCGTCTTCAGACGAGGCAGTCATTAGCCAGGCCCAAGCGCGTAGTAGCCCTTGCAGCCTCTTCCCTGTGCTCCTTCAGTTCCCAGCCACCCCTCATTCCTCCCCATAATTACGCCATGAGTAGCAAAGGGGAGGGGGGGAAGTAAGCGCCTCAGTGCTGTGCCCGTGACTCCCAGGGCGACTCTGTGCTCATGTCACTCTCATTCTGGATTCTTCTTCTCCTCCTTCAAAGAGAGTCACGTGGTGGTGGTGGTGATGGTGGGGAGATCTTCCATTCACTGGTTCACTCCCCAGCTAGCCACAATGGCCAGAACTAGACCAGCCAAAGCCAGGAGCCTCCTCTAGGTCTGTCATGTGGGTGCAGGGGACTGGACACTTGGACCATCTTCCACTGATTTCCTAGGCACATTAATTAGCCTCTCTAACTGGAAGGACCCAGCCCTGGCTGGTGTGGAATTGGCAGCCCACTCCCACACAAGTCAGGACCCTGAGGGTTTGCCCTAATGTTGTTGTGTGCTCTAAGTAAAGGACCTATGCACGTTAGGAGCTAAAGGGACAAACAAGATGTAGGAGCTCAAGCCTAGCAGCTGGCTGATGGTTAAACACCTGCATCCCACAGTGGGGTGCCTGGTTTGGAGCTGGCACTCTGGCATGGTGGGTAAAGCCACCATCTAACGCACTGGCATCCCCTGTGGGCACTGGTTCGAGTCCCAGCTGGACTACTTCCAACCCAGTTCCCTGCTAATGTGCCTGGGAAAGCAGTGGAGATGGCCCAAGTGCTTGGGCTTGCATCAATGTGGGAGACCTGAAAGAAACTCCTGGCTTCCAACCATGCCAGCCTAGATTGATGTGGCCATGTGGGGAGTGAACCAGCAGATTTCTCTCTTTGTCCTCTCTCAGTGGGTAACTCTGAATTCTAAACAAGTAAATAAATCTTAAAAAAGAAAAAAAATACCTGGTGTGTGAGCCTGGGAGGCAGCAGTGGTGGCCCGAGTGATTGAGCCTCACACATGGGAAAGCTACATTGAGTTCCTGAATCCCAGTTTTGGCCTAGCCCTGGCTGTTTCAGGCATTTGGAGAGTGAACCAGTAGGTGAATTTTCTCTCTCTCTCTCTGACTTCCAAGTTAGTAGTCAGGCTGGACACAACCACACAGGGTTCTAAAGATGCCAGGTGACATCTGAGGAGCTCCCTGCCCTAGCTGGACTTGGATCCAGATGGAGTCTTGAGGAGGCCCAGGCTCGAGCCCCTGCTTGCCTCAGACCTGTGGATGTAGGCACACTTGCACACATGTGCAGACACACACACACACACTTGCTGGGAATGATTCAGCTTTGTAACAGGTGCAGGAAGCCTCCGGCTAATTAGATCACTAGGAGTCAGATCACCCAGTTTAGTACTGACAGGCTCTTCTACCCATCCACACTACCACCACACACCCTTCCTGTGCTCCACGCCATAATGAGAGGGACAGGGGCAGGCAGTTTGAAATATGCATTTCTTTGAACCTCATTAGCAACTGCTGTGGGAAGGCAGGTCTGGTTGGGGAGGAGGTTGATATTGATAGTTCAAGTGTGGAGTCTGGGGATGATGGTGGATTTTGGCAATCCTGACTCCTCCTTAGCATGGATAATGCCAGTGTGGAGATTGTGGCTGCTGAGCTCAGATATGTGGGGTTACAGGGCCTGATTGCCTCCTCCTGTCCTGTAGGTATGCAGGTTCAGGGGGCAGTAGCTTGAGCTCAAGCTGCGAGCCCATTGGGTTCGAGTCTTGTCTTTGAGTCCCCAGATGTTTGTCAAGCACCCGGTACCTCCTGAACCCTGGGTTGCTATGGTAACCAGAAAAGACACAGTCGCTTGGCTCTCTGATGGAGGTATGATGCTGCTCACCCTTGTGGCTGTGGAGGAGCTCTCTGAGGTCATGATATTTTGGGAGGAGACCTGGGGTGTGAGGTGAGAGCAGCCAGGAGGAAGTGGAAAAGAGGAACACTTTCCAGAAAGTACTGGAAAGGCTAGAAGCAGAAGGTGTTTGGGAGGGGGGAAAGCCTTAGGAGAGTGGGGGCAGAGCTAGCTCACAGGGGTCTGGAGAGAAGGTGGGTGGCACGCTAAGAAGGCTAGCAGCCCTAGGAGGTTTGACAGGGAAGAGTGACTGGAGGGTGTGCCTGACTCACCTTTTCTTCCTGTCAGAGTAGTCACAGGAAGCGCTGGGGCCATCCCATGGGGGATGTGCATTCAGACTATGTTACAAAAAAAAAAAAAACAGCAAAGAGCCAAAACAACAACAACTCTCTCAACTCAAAAGAAAACAAACAACCCAATTAAAGATGAGTGAAATAGGAAGATTCTTTAAAAAGTTTATGGAGAATGGATTGAGCAGATAAGTTTATTTTGGCACAAAAACTTTTAAAGATACAAACTTTAAACAAATTATTTGAAAGGCGGAAACTAAGAAAGAGAGAAGGGAGAGAGAGAAAAGAGAGATCTTCCAACCACTGGTTTACTCTCCAAATGGCTGTGACAGCCAGAACTGGGCCGCTTTGAAGCCAGGAGTCAGGAGCTTCTTCCAGATCTTCCATGTGGGCAAAAGGGCCCAAAGCTTTAGGCCATCCTCTGCTGCTTTCCCATGGGAAATGGAGCAGCCAGGCTGCCAGTGCTGTAGGCGGAGGATCAGCTAAGATTTTGCCCATCACCCTGGGCCAGGTAAGAGGCAGGTGGGGTTATGGTCCTGGGGGCTGGTGCTGTGGTGGTTTTGCCTTGTTGGGCTTCACAGAGGCTGGTAACATGCTGGCTTCCTGTTCCAACATAAGCAGTTGCCCCAAGATTTCTACCGTGTTAGCGTCCAGTACGACCCCACAGGCTGCAGAGCTAGAACCTTCAGGAAATGGTGTGAAGGGGCAGTAAGGGGCAGTGGTAGGAGACAGCCTTGGGCCTGCAGTTCTCCCAGCAGGAAGAAGCTGCCACATGGGCACAGGGGCAGGGGGCAGTACCAGCTGCCTCTTAGGTCAGCTTTACTTGGGGCTCTCAGAAGCCCCCTGAACATGTTCTGAAACCAAACAATCCAGGCTCAACAGGGCAATTCTAGCAGAAGGCGGGCAGAAGCTCTAGGGCTGGGCTGGGCAGGGCTATCAGGATATGCATGCAGGAGCCTGGGGTGCCCTGTTTCCTGCCCTTGTGGCTGGACACTGCAATACATGAGCCATAGTGCTGGGTGCAGGCAGCAACACCCTGCAAAGCTGTGGACTGTGAGGTTGGAAGGGACATCAGCAGGGGTGCTGGCCTCTGTCCCTCCACATAAGCCACCTGCTGCCATCTGCAGAGAGCAAGGTCCACAGGGTCATTGTCAGGCAGATCGCCAGGCCTGAGTTGCCTCAGCTGTTCCCGTGTGACCACCTTGAGCCAGGCCTGTCTGGATTCCCTGTCTCATGGGGAGGCTCGTGGGAAATCCACTCCTGGTGCCTTCTCAGGGACTTGGGCTTCCGCCTGGTCTTGCCCTCTGCTTGATGGAAAAGACCTCAGGGAGGTGGTTTCCCATGGTCAGGTGCTGCCTGCTCCGGGCACACGGGTTGACCTACCCCCTGTGGTGGGGTTTGACCCTTATCAGAAAAACGTGGCTGACTTCCAGAGACCTGGAAGTTATCAATGGATTCGCTTGCAGGAAACACAGGCTGTGCTGTTCTCTGACTCACGCCATGCCCACAGAGGAGCTGGGAGACTTCCCCTCACCAGAGCCCCTTGCAAATGGAGAGACCCCCCACCTGCCTCACTTCCACATTTTCCCCATTCCCTCAGCCTGCCGGCTGCCTGCCCATGTGGATCTGCCCGGTCTGCATGTTTTTGTGTGTGTGAGGTAGTGGGAATCTGTACATTGCATCATATGTGCGTGCACTGTGGGTACCTGCAGAATGAAGCCTGATGATGCTCATGCCACCCTGGAATGACCCAAACAAACCCTCTGTGACCCCCACCTTGTACTCGGGGACCCTGATGACTTCTTTTCCTACGACAAGGATTTGATACCTCTGCTGGGTCAGGTTCTTTGTGAAAACTTTGCAGAAAAATGTTTAAACGCATTGGGCAGGCTGGGCTCATATTCAATGAGGGGAGGCGCCCAGAGGAAGTATCTGTCGCACAGAACAGATGCAGAGGGACCTCTACTGTGCCCAGGGCTGGTTCTTGGCTCTGGCAAACCTCAGCTGGCACCTGACTCTTCTCGGCAGTGAGCCAGCTCAGGCAGCTGGGAAGGCCTCCACCCGGGAGAGTTTGCCCTGAGCCAGCTCCTGGACTGGTGGTGCTGTCCTGGACTGGTGGGCTCTGAAACCCCAGCTGCTGATGCTGTCACCTCTCCTGACCCTGCTCCAGCCATGTCTGAGGATCCAGAAGTTAAGGGTGCACAGCTGTGTTCTGTTAGCACCCAGGGGAGGATGCCCTGGCATGGATGTTGGGGTGACCAGAAGGTCAAAGGAACTCAATTGGCCTGGACCCCAGGAGTCACCACCCCCTTGTAGGGGCTGGACAAGGCAACCTATTCAGTCATCCTTACATCACTGAGAAAGATCTTGGAGACCACAAGCAGGTGGCAAAGGCCATCTCCAGCCATCTCCACTGTATCACCAGTGTTTTCAATGTGTCTCTGTGGACCACCAAAGCTGGATCTTCTCTTTGATTAAGTAAAACAGCAACAACAGCAACAGGGGTGGGGTTGTGGCCACCACTTGAGATGCCCACATCCCATGTGCTGGTTCAAGTCCTGGCTACTCTGCTTCTGATCTGTCTCCTTGCTAATGTGCTTGGGAAGGTAGTGGGAGATGGGCAAGTCATCTACCAGATGGAAACTGTGCTCATGCTCGCTCTCTCTCTCTCTCTCTCTCTCTCGCCCCTTGCCTTTCAAGAAGGTGAAAATAAACCAACATCAAAATATGTGTATTGTGGTACATTCAGCAAGACATAATGGGGCAAGAATTTGAGTGTATGACAGCTTTAAGGGGTCAGGTTTCCCATCTGTAAGGGACGAGGTTGGCACAACCCTACTTGGCTTACTGTTTTCTCAAATGGTGTCCCCTGTCTTCCTGCACCCGTAGGGTCATCCATAGCCAGGACCCTCTCCCTGTTTCTAGAAATATTCACTCATGCAGACACAACTGTCACAAACAAGTCCATTCCTGCTCCTCTCCCTCCTTTTCCTCAATCTTCTGATTGTCCACTCCTTTCACCTGCATTTCCACTCCCTTACCCAGAGCTGTACTTGCTGGAAAAATTCTATTTTAACTCTTTTTAGGATCTCTGCTCTCATGGACTTTCCTAGACCTTTTTGTCTGGTCGGGAATGAAAACACACTGGGATTTGCAGTGTTGATTGAAGTTGCTATACAAATTCTTCCTACAGCCAGCGTCCCACCTCTCCTGAACGCCTCCATCCTGTCTTCCCTGCTCCCTGCCCAGGCCCAGATGGAGGCCACTGCCTGGGCTGGGGGCAGGTGCAGCTGGGTACCTGCTGGAGTAGCTTGTCCTGCCCAGAACATCATGGTGTTGATGGAGCTGGCCCCTGAGGACTTTCCCCCTCCTGGGGTTGGGTGCTCCGCAGGCAACAAGGAGCCCTCAGGATGAAACAGGATGAGGTGGGCCACCCCAACTCTGCATTTCTTTCAGAACCAGGGCAGGGCCTGCAACTTCTTGATTGACTGTTGCCTTCCTGGGAGGTTCCTGGGCCTCTCTGGCCTTTGTCTATTTAATAGAATTTTATTGTATCACTGTATCCTTTTCTGGTGCTGAAGGTCATGCATAGGTTTTCTGCTCCCTAAGCCTGGGCCTTGGATCACTGGGCTTACCAGGCAGGGTTGAGGGCAGCAGGGGCAGAGAGGGGTGCACACCTTCCTGGGCCACCCTCTGACCTGGCAGACCCTGAAAAGGGGGCTTCAATGGCCCCAAACCCCATTTCTCAACCCAGAAGGTCAGCAAGGAAATGCGGAGTTGGGGAGTGAGCTGAGTGCAGAGTTTGAAACGCACAGACTTACCCTGTGTGTTGAGGGAGGGGCAGGTGCCTCTCCACATCCTTAATCCCCAGCTCAGGCACACTCAGGGCTGCAGGCAGACACATCTGAAGGTAAGCTTTCTGCTGGGACTTCGCCTGGACTCCCCAGCTTCACCTCCTGGCTATAACCAAAACCATCCCCAGTTGGTCCATGTGTATATTACTTTCTCTGGGTCCAGGCAGGTGGGTGGCCATCATCTGAGCTTCTGAAATGCATGTGGGCTTGGCTGGGCCTGCCCTCCACACCTCTACCTCCACCTTCATCTCATCCCTGCTCATTCCCTCGGGAAAGTGGTCCACAGGCCCCTTCTGGCTTTTCTGACCCTCCTGTTGTGTTTCCTTCACAGCCTGTGATTGCCACCCTGTGGGCGCCGCTGGCAAAACCTGCAACCAGACCACGGGTCAGTGCCCATGCAAGGATGGTGTGACAGGCATCACCTGCAACCGCTGCGCCAAGGGCTACCAGCAGAGCCGCTCCCCCATCGCCCCCTGCATCAGTACGTGCCGACCCTGCGCTCCCGTGTGTCTGGCCTGGATAGGGGTTGGGGAGCCCCTTGCTGATACCAGTTCCTGACATCCATTGTGGGCTTAGCACTCAATGCCAACCATTTCAGTCCAGTATTTGCTGCTCAGTAACACCCCCCCAACATCGTGGGGGACTCTCAGCCTAGGGGCTCCATGCAGAGCTAGTTGGGGACCCTGTCTTGTTGATAGGTCTCTGTTCTGGCAGACAGCATATGTCATCCTACTCCCTGTATTCCACCTTGACCCCAGACTCGGAGTGGACCAGTGGCTGTCAGTGCTACTGCAGGAATTCCAGTAGCACCCTTGGCCTTGGTGGGTTCAGAACAGAAAGGATTAGAAGCCCAAGGCTGTTTTGGAGAGAGGCCAGGCAGGAAACCCCACACATAGCACCCAGGGTCCTCATGAAGGATGTGGCATGCTCAGGGTCCTAGGAATGCCTCCCCTTCCTCCCCCCCCCAGCCAAGTACATTGGGATTTGTTAACTCCAGAGTTGCTGGGATATGGGAAGGCGTGAGTAGGATGGCAGAAGCTTCTCAGAGACCTTGGAGCAGAGGGTTCCAATATGTCAGGACTGGCAGGGACACGCTGAAAAGCCAGGAGTATCCTGAGAATTAGCTCTGGATGGAAGGTCCAGCCCAGCCAAGAGGTGCCTCCTTAGCCTTGGCCTTATTGATTCCTTGCAATGGAGCCAAGAGAGAGGGGATGAGAGAAGGGGGTAAATCTTAACAAATGAAGTTGCAGGGGGGCACTCTGCCACAGTACATGGCTGGTGCAGGGGCTCCCAAAACAGAGCTGGGCTTACACCCCCTCCTCCAGCAATGGCCACCAGGGGGGCCCTTGGGATATCTTCTGGCTTCTTCTCTGCTAGGCAGCAGCCTGATGTGGAACACCCCTCGCCTGACTGATCAGGTGTGGTCTCCACTATGGACCATCTGGGTTGCATCACCAGGCTTTTTCCTGTGATGACCACGAACCTCTGCTGAAGAGCCCCAGCTCCAGGCACCCACAGAATGCCCAGGCGTTAGGCTGTCTGTGCCCATCTGTGAGCCAGGACTGTGTCCAGGCCAAGGCCCAGTGCTCCATGTTGCTCCAGGGCTCTTGGCACTACCCTTAGTCGTGGACTTGCAGCCAGAGGCATTCTCATCCTGCCTCTAGAAGGTTGTTACCAGGATAGATGCCTTTTAGGGTTAAGGACAGGCCTGGTGCAAGGCCTGACACTCTAGGGAGTCCCTGCGGGTGATTAGTGATAAAAACGCCCACCAGCAAGATCAAGCTCCATGTTGGATTCTGTGGATCCCTGGCCAATCTTCCAAAAGCCCTCTTAGCAACTTTCAGATTAGCTTCCCAACCCAAGGGGTTCAACCCCATCCACCAGGCTTCAGGCTCTAGCCAACCTAGAATCTGGTGGGGGAGGACAGGATCAGAGGGAAGTAAGTATTACCCCCAAGGAGCTAGTGAATTTCAAGGTCTCTGTCCCCTGAGGACTTGTGGCAAATGGTAAGGCTGTACCTAGTGTTGGTGCCTGGCGGCTGGCTTGAGGTGCTATAGGAAGTACAGGGTCAGGTCCAGCAGGTAGCTGGAATGAATTGCTCTCTCAAGCAGAAAGAGAGTAAGCCAAGTAACCTACCTGCTTGTGTCAGAGCCTTTCACCCTCTTCACCTGTATCACCACTAAGTAAATGCCTTCAGTAGGGAGAGGTACACCATGGTGTGAGAACCTATTCCTGGGACTAGAAAGGCCAGGGGGAAGCCCCTGTCTGCCATCCCCTCCCTGAGTTGATGACCCTGTGCATGTAAAAGGTGGGCACCGGGCCTTGAGAGCAAGGTCAAGGCCTCAGGACCGCCAGCTCATGCCTACCTTCTTGCCAGCATGCCTCTGCACAGTCTGGAGCCATGACCTTCCTGCCAGGTGTTGGAAAGGACAGCTTTCTGAGGGTGCCCAGCTCCCCTCCCACTATACCCCTAGGACCTGACCCAGGCTCTTCTCACTTCCCTGAGCCACGGGAGAGGACCAGGGAGAACGGGGCCCAGGAAGGTTGGAAAGAGCCCAGGCTGGGCCTATTGCCTTTCCCAGCTCAAAAGTAATGTCTTGCCTTGCCTTCTCTCCCTCTCTCTTCTGACCCTACCAAAGAGATCCCCGTGGCCCCGCCGACCACCACGGCCAGCACTGTGGAGGTGCCTGAAGGTAAGCCAGCCTGGAGCTTCCCGGTTCTTCTGTTTGCTCTGGGGTGGGGTGGGAAGGGTTCGAGGTGGAAGGGGCAGTAGAAGACCTAGTTGCCCCCTGCACCCACCAGCAGGCATTGCGTGGGCTGCAAGGAAGAGGATGAAGGCAGTGTCTTTGAGGCTCCTAAGAATGATACTGAACTCTAATCGTGGAAAACAAAAAGAGCGGTCCTCAAAGCCCAGAAGCTTCCATCGCAGCCAAGTAACTGTCGTCAGCGACAGTGGCATGGTCGTCGGTAGGAGTCACAGCAATGTTCGCGTCGCGTTGTAGGTGGTGTAGACCTCGTATTCTGAATGTTTGTGATGACTTCAAAATTAGTTACTACACCTGCTGCTGGATCCTGATGTGTAATCGTCGGGAAGAGAAGCAGAGGTTGAGTGTTTGGCCTAGTGGTGGTGGTTGGGATACCTGTGCCCCTCACAGCTCTGGCTCCTAACTCCCGCTGCCTTTCAGTGCACACCCTGAGAGGCAGCAGGTGATGGCTCCAGTAGTCTGGCTCCAGCCATCCATGTGGGTGGGCCACCCCCAGCCTTTGTAAGCCTTTAAGCTCTGTGTATATGAGAGGACATCGGTGTTGCTTGGTCTTTGTTGTAGCCCTGGGTAGGTGGAATGACATCTTGATAAAGCCATCGTGGGTTGAAAATGCCGTGAGTCAAGATGGCTGGTATACACATCCTAGCCCAGCAATGCAGGTAGTGTTGATGGGTGCCACCCAGCATGGCCAGAGATGGTGGTGCTGCCTCTTGCCAGCCCAGGAAAGGGCCAACATTGGGCTTTGCACTCTTGCGTCGTGGGCACACTGAAAAATTGTGCAGCGTCACTATTGTAAGTTGGGGACCACTGGTATTTATTTTGGCATCAGAACAATCCTAGGGGGGTTGGGGAAGGGTGTGTTCCCTGGGCTTTGGAGGTCCTTAATGCAAGAATAGTTGTACAACCCTCGCTTTGGGCATGCAGGGAGCACAGAGCCCTGTTGGCGGGTTGGGGAGGGGGTGCCCAGTTGAGAGCAGTGCAGGCCAGTACCCAGAGCCCTGGTCCTGGGGTCCTCCCATAAGTTCGTATGGGAGCTCCAGCATGAATACCTGTGTCCACTCTGGGGACCCCACCCTCTGCAGATAGCACCATCAGGAGGCGTGGGGGAGCCTGCAACGCCAGGAGGTGGCCTGAGTGTTTCAGAATGAAGTCCCTGCACATGGAGGAAACAGATTCAGAATGCGTCCGTTCCTAGGCTGTCCACTGCCTGCAGCCAGGAGGGGACAGGATGCCTTTTGGTCTTAGGTTGTTTTCCAAGTTGGCCGGTACCTTTCAATCTCCTGCATGTCAGATCTTAGCACGCGCGCGCGGTCTGTCTTGCCACCCCCTCACCGCCTCACTGCCTTACCTCCTCATTGCATCACCTCCGCACTGCCTCACCTCTTCACTGCCTCACCTCCCGACACATTCCTCCAATCTCCCCAGGCCCTACAGCTTCAATTTAGGTTTCTTGCAGAGATGGGTGGCATTTTTCCTTCCAAATAAGAAATGGACAAATTGGGGGGGGGGGGGATAAAACACACACACAAACACAAGTGCGGAACTCCTAAGATTTTGACACAGGCCACAAAAACCGGTAGCATACCCGGTGGCTTTGCATTCTGTAGCAGGCCTGAGATTGCCAAGTAACTGTTTACCAACACCTATTGCATCCGCCTGCGAGGTGTGTCCCTTGGCAGACCTTGGCTGGTTCATTTACTTTTCTGACCCCTCTAGATTTGGCTGCTGTTTATTTTTCTTTCGGAGTCTTTTTTTTTTTTTTTTGTAATATATGTTTTCAGCCACAGCAAGCAGCAGACAGACCCCGTGACCTAGAGCATTGCCCACAGAGAGACTGAGTGAGGTTTGAAGCTGGCAGTAATGTCTGTGGCTTTGGCAGCCCCCAAATACCTCTGCTTGCTCGTTGTCTCTCTCTGGGAACTGTGGATGTCCCTAGGGACCAAGCATTGGCCTGGGGTGGGACGAGATGAGGGGCTCCCGCTGCAGTCTGGCTGGTCTAGCCAGAGGTATGGGCAGGAGACCAGGTCCCACGTCCAACCCCCAGCCCCCAGCAAAGCAGGAGGACCTAGACACTCAGCCCCTGCAAACCTGCCGGCTCTTGCTGTTGTTTAAATAGGGAAGGCCCCTGAGCCAGGCTGCCTGAGAAAGGCTTGTTTACTTTTGCCTGCGCAACAGAAGGGAGAGATTAATAAGCCAGGAATGTTGTCCTGAAAGTTGATGGACATAACCTCACCCTGAACTCGTCCCCTTGAAGGGCCAGCTCATTTGGGGAATGCTCCTCACCTGCCTGGTCCCGGCTTGGGGGTCAGCAGGAGTGGGGGAGAGGCAGCCAGGAACATAGTGCTGGGAGGGACAGAGCTCCCTTCCTTCCCCTGGCACACCTGAGGCTGCAAGACAGACAGCCACCCTCCTTGACCTTGGCTGCTACTCCAAGAGAAGATCTTGACTTGCAGACTGGTGATGTGCAGGCCGCTTGCAGCACTTGGTTTGGAGCCAGGACATGTGAGGTTGATTGTTCATAACCTCAGCACTTGGGTAACACTAATTCTTCTCGAACTTTCCGTCTCTCTCCCCAAACCCCATCCCCTCTGCCCCTGGGGGCCCCTATGTCTGCCCAGACTCCCAGCTCAGGAAAGGAAGCTTCCCCTGCTGCTGGGGTGTCTGTCCTCAGAAATGTCCACTTGTCCTCCTTCCCCTGACCTCACCCAGTGGATTGGTGTCTCTCGTGTGATGTGTTGCAGATGGGGGCCGGTATGCAGGTAAATATTTAACACCTGAGTGGGGGGCGGGCAGTGAGAGCCAGACATGCAGCACCTGTTGCTTGTTTTTGGAATGAGCATTGCTCTGTTGCTGCTTTAGGGCTGCCCAGGGTGAAATCATGGAGCATAGTGTAGGAAGAGCCATGCTCGCAAGGGGCTCTCGGGACCCACCTGGGCTGGCTCCACCCCTCCACTGCGTGGGGTGGGGTTTCTGACCCGGAAGTGGAAGGAGGATATCTGGAAGAAGGAAGGGTGGTGCCTTTGCTGGCCTCCTCTAATTGGCAGGGGGCACAGTTGCCTTTATGAGCAGGAGCGGAAGTCAGGGCTGAGGTTGAGAAGTGAGGAGCCGGTCAACTCCTGGGCACTCTCAACTCTCCCACTGGAGTCCTGAGTCCTGTCTCCCTGCCGTGCGTCCAGTTATACCCACCATGTTTGGGGTCCTTTAGTGGTGTGCCTTTTGGCTAACCGCTCCCACAGCCTAGGGATCCTGGCAGCCCTTGAGGACTCGGTGGAACCTACTGGAGGAACTCCCAGCCCAGGTACTACTAGGTGTGGGAGGATGGGGTTGGGAGTGGGGGTGGAGAAGGCCTCAGAGAGGTTGAATCTGGTGGTTTCTCGGCCGCTGTGTGTTTTCCCCTGAAGGAAGTTGGCTTTGGATAGACCCGGTTGCACCTTGAATTGTTCGCTTATACACTTTAATTACCTGGAGAGGGAATGAAGTTGGGGAGAATGCGCTGATGAGTGTTGAGTGTGTCGTTGGTGAGGTGTTGGGGGAAGAGAAGACGCTGAGATGAGGAGCCTGAACTTCGGGACCTTCCTCTGTGAAATGGTATTAACTGTCCCTGCTTCGTAGGGCTGTTGGGGAACTAAGTGGAGTGATTCAAGGATGTGTTTTAAATGCGTAGTAAGAAATCGGACAGGACCACTTGAAATGGGTACCACAGGATCAGGGTGGTTAAGACAAGCCATGGTTTTGCTGCAGCTTCTTCTGATCCAGGCAGGAGGCAGTTAGGTGTGGACAGGTGTGGGGAGTCTGCTGGAAGGAGGACTTGGTGAATAACAAGCTGGGCTGCATAAGGCTCAGAGCCACCCAGCTGGCTGCTTCCCCCAGGGTGATGTGAGACCCTGATTCAGGCAGAATGGTAAGGACTAGAATTCAAGGCCAAGTACTTCATGATAGCCCAAAGATAGAAATAGCCCAAGTGTCATAGGTGGATGAACAGGCCCACACCATGAGATGTTGTTCGGCCACAGTAAGGAGCGGCGGACTGGTGACGAAAAATACACCATGGTATGTTTTTGGGTGTGTGTGGGAGTGCACCTCAAAACCATTGTGTCAAATTAACCAAGCCAAACACCAAAGCTATGTAGTGTGTGTTTCTGTTTGTAGGAAACGTTGCGGATTGGCACATGCGGAAAAAGTGGATGAGAGGGCTGGGGAGAGTGGCTGTTGGACGAAATGATGTGCTGTCCAGTACTGTGAGTGAACGTCACACTACTGGACCGCATACTTGACAATAGTAAAGTTTATGGTTATTTTGTGACAGTTGAAGAAAAAACTCTGAAAAGTGTTCCAGGTCTGAGTCTCCATGAATCCGGTTGCTCCAGGACTGGGGAGCGTGGAATCCAGGTCTTGAGATGAGACTCTGGGCGCCAACATTGGTGGAGATGTGCTTCTCCTGTGGTCTCACTCACATCTGTGTCCACTTTTGAGGGCAGGGGCATCTCTTAGCCCCAGCTATCTAAGTGGGACGAGATGAGTAAATGTATTGGGAATGGAGGCCAGAGACCTGTTGTCTTCCAGCTGCATACACTAGGGAGTGGGGTAGGGGGAGGTTGCTGCTTCTACTGTGCAGAACCTGCAACTGCTGTCTCCTCTCCTAGCCCTCTGATGAAGGTCGCTTTCTGGATCTCTAGGGAGGGGGACACACACACACACATACCCTCACCCCTTCACCCTCTCACCCCCCACCCCACAGTGGTAGGAGGTGGGGTCTCTGTAGGCAGCTCAGATTACTGGGAAAGAAGTGTACAATGGACCGGGGCACTGGTTTGGAGCAGGGTGTGTGGCTGTCTGGAATTGGCTTTTGTGGTAAATGACCATTGAGGCCATCAACATCATCAAGAACAGATTCAGGATCAAAGGTAAATAGAGGGGCAGGTGTTTGG